CCATGAGGCCAGGTTCGTAGATGGGGAGATCTTCAGATTGCCATGCAGCAATGCGCTTGCTGTCATAATCGACCACCGTCACCTGAATGTCGGGGTTGGCGTTCGCCATGACTGCCGAAGTCGGTCCTCCCACGTATCCTGCACCGATACAACATATCTTGGTTATGCGTCCGAACAATTTGGACTCATGGGTGGAGCGGTATGAGGGCGCTGGGGTGGGCGCATCTTGCCGTGTGTGACTAGACATGAGGAGTGTGTGAGGGTTTGCAAAAACGAGTGTATAACAGGATGCCTGGTAATTGAGCAGGACAAGGACAAAGAAGCCTTCGTGGAAGTGAGCCGGATACCTATAGGTACACAAGGGTATCGAGATGTTGGATGAAGTATCCACCAGCCATAGTCACGGACCGAGCGGCCGAAGATACTCATGGTCGCCTGGACGGCTATCGGCATCTTCTATTATCGTTTACACGATCTCATTTTGGCAACTACTGGTGCCGAGGATGGACCTGAACGTATCGGACGGCTAGGAAACGCTTGGTTGGGTGACATGATGGTGATGAGCGCTAGCGTGACGGAAGTACCGGGGACGCCACAAGGATCAATTGATGGGGTGCCTGCCAAGCCAGCCGGGGCCTTCTTAGTAACGTCGCATGTTATCTTTGTGATGTAATCCTTAGCACGAGTACTCCACCACTCGGCGAGGCTTGACATCGATTTCGCATTTTGGCCACTATGGCTATGCGCGTAGCTTTTCAGTTAGTTCTGTTGCAGGACTCCAAGCTCCGCCCCGAGTTACGCAGTTTTTCGCTCCGCCCCAGAGAACGCGCAGAGAAGCCAAGTGTCATAGGACACTAACCCATAGGGACTGTTCTTATTCTGCTAATATCGGAACCCGGCAACGCATGATTACAGCGGATGAAGCCACTGTGCCCAAACTATGGCTTAGTTGGACTTCATGGCGCAGTCAATGGTCAGCACAGTTTCAGCGGGCCAGCGCACACGTGCAGCCACTACACATTATTCGCCCTTGCTTGAGATGCAGTGTTAACTCCGGTCCCCGACAGCCACACCTTACCCGGATCCATCGTGTGACACGGCACACACCGTTCTCAGCGGGTCCTGGGCAGACAGGCATGCGAAGGAGCTAAGGTGTCGGCCAACCGCAGCATTATCCGGTCGTGGTTGAGGATTAGACGCGAAGAGACTTTGTTGGCCCTAGCCACAGTGACGCTATAATCTCTTTCAACTAATACTTGTCGGATCAAATACCGGTTCAGCCACCTGAATTTGAACATCCCTTAGACTGTCGAAACGCCTCATCGCGAGGTAGCACGCGACTCCTTCCTCACGTCGACCGACAAAGACGACAACATCATGGAGAAATTCGAAATGGCTCAGGCCGAGCCTGTACTCAACCAAGTGGCCGAAACCGATGAGCAATATCCTGTTGAACTGGATATCAAGGAGAATGAACCGCTACTGGACCTCGAAAGCCAACAAGATGGAAAGCATGTGCTTTCTCAGCGTCCTACAGAGCCAGCTGCCAGTAGGACGAAGACGTTCATATACCTGGCGACTTATTTTATAATGAACTTGAGTCTCACATTTTACAACAAAGCTGTTATGGGTTCGGTATGTAGCAGGAGCAGATACGAGGAGTCGATTTAGCTAACGAGATACCCAGTTTCCGTTCCCGTGGATTCTCACAGCGGTACATACCGGAAGTGCTGCTCTTGGAAGTTCAGTCTTCTTGATGTTCGGGCATTTCCAGCTAACGAGGCTGACGCCGCGCGAGCATCTGGTCCATTTCATGTTCTCGCTCTTGTTCACGCTGAACATTGCAATGTCAAATCTGTCGTTGTAAGTTTCCATTACCTTACATACATCTTCGTACGCTAATAACTTCGCAAAGAGCTATGGTCTCTGTTCCCTTCCATCAAATCATGCGAGCGACATGCCCGCTCTTTACCATTCTGATATACCGTGTTATTTTCTCCCGAAGATATGCACTGATCACGTATCTGTCCATCGTCCCGGTAATGCTAGGCGTCGGACTGGCTACCTTTGGTGACTACTACTTCACCGCCATTGGATTCACCCTGACACTCATCGGTGTGGTCCTCGCTGCCATAAAGGTAAGTAATACCCGAAGGATTATGCACGTTCTCGCGAAGGATGCTAACAGCTCGAAATAGACCGTTGTTACCAACCGTTTGATGACGGGGCGCCTGCGACTACCCGCTCTGGAGCTGCTCCTCCGCATGGGGCCCCTGGCCGCAGTGCAATCTCTGCTGTACTCGGTGCTCATTGGCGAATTCTCAGAATTTCTTGCTTTTGTGAATGCCGGACACTTTACAAGGGAAAGGATTCTGACAGTCTCGGGCAACGGCCTGCTCGCATTCGGCCTCAATGTCGCGTCTTTCGAGACGAACAAGCTGGCGGGCGCGTTGACCTTGACCATCTGTGCAAATCTCAAGCAATGTCTGACCATCGTATTGGGAGCCTTCTTGTGGGACGTGCCTGTCAGTCCGATGAACGGCGCGGGCATCCTGCTCGCTCTGGCAGGTGGAGCGTGGTACAGTAGTATAGAGCTTAAGTCAAAGGCGAGAGCAAGTGGATGAGCGAATGACACATGGCGTCGCGCTTTCTTAGCGTGACGCGCTACTCTAGCGAGAACAGAGTCCGTGCACATGTGATTCTTCTGTGACCCCAGACGTGCGTCCAACCGATCGCTTGGAGCCTGGATCCGAGTAAGACACTAGCATCCGTCTTTCCCGATATCCTGGTAGTATGCCTCGCTCTATCAACTTCTTTCGGAATCATGCCATTTATGCCAATCATGCAGCTCACCATACGAGATTGCCATGGGTGACGCCACGCTCCCGAGGTCTGCCTGACCACGGGGCTGCACGGTATCAATGCCAAAGGAGAGTTTTGTGGGCTATGGCTGGCCTAAAATTAGCGCTCTATTACCACTGATCATATCATAATCGCCTTCAGACGGCTGTGGCTCAATACACCTGCGCCATGCTTCGTCCTAGGACTCTCGTCTTCGGAACCCTGGTTTTCGCGACCCTGGTAGTTTTCTGGACTGCACTACATCTCAACTCCCTCGACACCATACGGCAAGCCGCGGTACAAGATCCACTCACCGCGAATATCCAAGAATCGCGTCTTCACCTGCTCATTGTAGCTACGAGTAGTGGCCTCGACTTGTGCCGCCTTCTTCTCTCCGCGTCGGTGCTCTTGTACCCACCTCCCGTTCTCATCGACTGGGCAGGAGCGGGCGCATTCAACGCTGCAGAAACTCACCTTGCGAAAATCGCGGGTCCTCTTCGCTACCTCGAGAGTCTGTCCCCCGCACAAGATACAGACATAGTCTTACTGGTGGATGGCTTCGATGTTACGTTCCAGCTCGGTCCGGATGTCTTGCTAAAGCGTTACTTCGAAGAAACGGCTGCCGCCAATGATCGGCTGGTCAACCGGTACGGCAAAAGCCATATGCGGAAACACAAGATTTACAACAGCATCCTTTTCGGCCCTGACAAAGTATGCTGGCCAGAAGATGTTCTTCGCTTAGCGTGCTGGGTCGTTCCTGACTCACCTCTTCACCCCGACGCTTTTGGCCCTTACACTGATGGATGGGGTGATATGAATCACGCAAGACCGCGCTGGCTGAACTCAGGCACCATCATCGGGCCCGCTGGCGAAATGCGCGAGATGTTTCGTGCAACTCAAGAAAAGATCAAGCAGACGTACAATCCCGAAGACGTGCTGCGCAACTCCGATCAGAAGTACTTTGCAGACGTATGGGGTGATCAAGAGTATGCGCGCATACTATCGCATGGAGATAAGCCCTACGGGATGCCCGAAGGAGTTCAAGAAATTGACCTACCAACGCTCAAGGAAGGCGAAGTGACTGAATATCACATTGGGCTGGACTATCGATCGAGCCTATTCCAAACAGCTGCGGGGTATAGGAACTACATTGCTTGGATGGCGACGAACCAATCCTCGCTTCCTTCATCATCGAAATCCGTGGAGCCGTACAGGATTGATCTACAGGAGGACGTGCTGCAGTCAAGGAAGCCATTTGCTGCTATATCAGATGATCCGGCCTTGAAGGAAACTTCGTGGCGAGATGTGTCTCTGGGTTTCAACACAGTTACTGGCCAGCCTTTCCCAGTGCTCCACTTCACAGGCGACAAGTCATTTCGAGACACTTGGTGGCCCCGCATGTGGTACTCTGGAGAGGCTGAGCGCCTTCAACGCGCGGCATCTCAAGTAAACGACGAGAAGATTGGGCCAGATCCTATCAATGGAGTTCGGTGGACCAAGAACATGCCGTACGACAGTAAAGTAGGCGAGCCAGAGGAGAAGTCGGGGGCTTGGAGTGACCAGGGGGCATCGCTCTCGTGGAAATCTCTTTGCGAGTCGCATGAACCTGCGTTGTACAGTGGAGAGCCAGAGAAAGTCTCGTTTTGGGACACTATATACCATTGATCGCGAAGCATCAGGCGTTGAATTTACTAAATCTTAATAGCAACGTTGTGTTTCACACCAAACTGTACGATCACATGTAAGGTCTCTCATCGAACTGGCACCAAGAGTGGAATGCACAAATCTTACTGCCTAATTTCGCTCCTGTTCACATAGCCACGCCGCCCCTGTCGTGGCAGTTTACCGAGCAGATGGTCCAAGCCACCAAAGAGACGGCATCTCGGCACACCTCTTCCGGATGGTGCCGGCAAGTAGACCCACTAGTGTACGCCCATCCGCCACCTCCCGGAGTTGACGCCGCACGGCTGGGATATCCGACTAGCTCAAGTGTAAGTTTAGATCCTAAGAAGGCGAACTGCCATCGGTGACAGCTCATTACCAACATGAATAATGCGCTCGGCCGGGTGCAGATGCACTGCCAACTACGGCGCTGTCGCAAGCATTATCTCGCAACGTGAGCTTCACAGTTCCGCCGTGTCAGCACGGTTTTCTGGATGATGCGCGGGTACAAGCAACTCTCCAACGACGCGGTCGCGCGCCTACCAGGCTGGAGTCGCCGGCGTTGGATACTTTTCGCAGCATCTTTTATACTCGTTGTTGTCTTCATTACTACCGTCAACAGCGACCGCCATCTTGTTCCCACTGCTTTCTCGTCGAGCAGCAAGAACAAGGCGAAACACTCCTCTATCCTCCACGTCCTCATCCCTGCGGACCACAAAGATGTCAATCTTTGCAAGACGATGCTCAGCGCTGCAGTGGCTGGGTACCCAACCCCTACGCTGATCAACTGGGGCGCCACATTTGACGATAAATCGCTAGTGGCTGGAGGTTCGCATATCGCCAAGATCAGTGGTGTGCTCGAATACCTGCGTAAACTTGGACCGGAACGCGACGACGACTTGGTATTGCTGGTGGATGGATACGACATCTGGTTTCAACTACGACCCAGCGCGTTAATCTCGCGCTTCCACGCTATCAACGACGCGGCGAATGCGCGAATACGGAAGACCATGGGATCGAGAGCCGCGGCTGCAGAGGGCATAAGTCAGGATATTGTCTTCTCCGCGCAGAAGCGGTGTTGGCCGTGGAAACCAGAGGACCCCCCTTGTTATGCTGTACCGCAGTCTTCGCTGCCAGAAGACATCTACGGCCCGCAGACCGATACCGATATCGGCTGGGATAAGAATCCATACGTCAAGTTCCGTCAACGGTACCTCAACTCCGGAGATGCCATGGGCCGCGTGGGCGCGATGAAAGCGCTCTTCGAACGCGCCATGGAGAAGGCAGATAAAGACCGCAACTTTGGCAGCGACCAGAAGATCTTCAGTGAGATTTTCGGCGACCAGGAATTTCAACGCGAGGTCATGAGACAACGGCACAGGTCTTTCTTCCAAAAGACGGGGGATTGGTTGACGGGGAGAAAAAGCATCCTCAGCCCGCAGTCCGAGCGGCATTTGCGCGAGCACAAGGCTGGCAAGCCAGATGAGTTTGGCATCGGACTGGATTATGCCAGTCTGCTTGGTCATCCGACAGTTTTCGCAGAAGAAGACTCAGCATGGGTAACATATGACGACTCCAAGTCCATCGCGCAAGCGTCTGCTGAACTCAACATCGCGCCAGTACGCGTCCACGACCTTGCCCAGGACATTACAGAGTCGCAACCACCATTCCGCCCCGCAGTCGTCGCTCCAGATGCGAAGTTTCCCGACAAGAAGTCTTGGAACGATGTTCCTCTCTACACGAACATGTGGACGAGTGTCGTTCCTGGCCTGATCCACCACAATGCGCATCGAGATGGGCTCAAGTCCCTCCGCGTTTCGGTCTGGGATCGCATGTGGTACTTCAATCACACTAGGAAGTTGTACGAGTCGAATGCCATGGGACCGGTCGCGCCCGTTGCTGTAGTACATGATGATGCGGGCGTGGAGCAGGCGTGGTGGAGCCCAATCGCGGAGAAGGGCGGGGCAAAGTCGGACAAGGACGAATGGCTGCCATTCAATGATTTGTGCAAGGACTTTGAGAAAGAGGTGTTTAGAGATGTTTAGATTCTTCAGTGTCTTTCTAGTCATATTTATACGATAATACCGATGACAATTACATGCAAAGATAGCATTTGGTCTATGCGTGTGTTGAGAACGTGGCAAGACACCATTGCAATATATCAGCTCACAGTAGTGACATCAGACGCACGATCAAATGTATACTGCCATTGTTCTAGGGATTTCAGAGACAGAAAGAGACAACACGATTCAAGCAGACCCACACGGAATCCCAAACGAACACCATCATAGCCGCAACACTCTCGAAATCGACATCAACGAGACGCACTCACTATACAAGCGTGCGACCTCACATGAACCAATCTGTAACACCGTCCCAATATTTAATCTCGTCGTCATCTTTCGTCGGACTCGTACTCTCGTCAACTCCAGTATGTCGCAATTTCATCGCCTCTTGCAAAGTAGGCCATTCCACTGCGCTCGTGCTGGCACCATCACTCGTCCATCGTGCAGCACTGGTAGGTGTGGCGGGTGTCTCCTCCTAGTGAGACTGGAAGTAAGACTCAGAGTAATACTCGTCATCTTCATCGTCGCAGTCGGAGTCGTCAATGGGTTCGACATCAACCGTAGTCTCGGGTGGTGTAGGTACTTCCTCCCAGGAATCCGCCATGGACTTCGTAGTTACCGGATCGATGATATCGTACTCGGAAAGAAGACTAACAGTGTCGAAGTCATCGGTGTCTGATTTGGAGACGCTTTCTTTATGTTCAGCTTCAAGGAGTGCAAGCACTTTGGAGATTGTGGCCCTGTGATTGTCTTGCGTGGATGGTTTGGAGTTCACGTGGCTGATGTCGAGGTTTGGTGAGCGCTGTGGGATGCTGTCCTCATCATTCCGCGTATTGGGCGATGTGAAAATATCTGAGAAGAACACGCTAGATGCTGCAGGCTTGTCCGACAGCGCAGTATACCATTGATAAGCGTTCCACGGATGTTCTACCTCCGACGTGTTGAACGGGTCCCCAAAGGGTGGACGAGAAGAGCTTTCGGGAGCAGGAGAAGTGGATGAGCTTGTTCCAAACGATGGGGTTCCGAGTACGGGCTGCTGGGCTGTGGAGGTGCTCTCGCGCGCGATGAGTTTGCCGTCGGCGAAGAACTTGGACTTTCGACCGGGTTGCTGAGGAATATAGCAACGCGCGTGGGGCTTTGCTGGAACAGTCACTTCTTGCGGTGACAGCCTGATACGCGCATGACCCGAGCTCATCAGCGTTTCCGACTGACGAACTTTTGCTGGAGTTGGTATTGAACGGCGTTGCCAACAGCCGTGAAAACGCGGGTTGACGTTCATCTTTTCAGCGTCCAAAAATGGAGGTTCCCGCCCAAGGCCATGTGCAATGGATGGAGTTCCAGTTTTTCCATTCGCTGTCTCGGGTTCGGTGGGTTGAGATGCACCAGAAGGGGATACACAGGTTGGCTCAATCATGTTGGAGGACATGTTGACAAGACTGAGGGGACAGGGCGTACAAGGGGTATTCGCCACGGTTGGGAGAAGAGGTGGTCCCTTTTGCTGGATATCTGACTCGTCAGTGGATGTGGTAGGCTTGGTCTGTAGACTCCTCGAAGTGAGTGCACGATGTGCTGCTTTTGTTGCGGCGTGTTGTGCGTGGGACGAGGATGTAGGAGGAGGGACTGAAGACTCTGAGGGTTGCGGACCTTTTTCAGGAGCCTTTGATTCTAGAAATTTAGACTTGGATGGAAACCGTCCTGAAAGATCGGGACAGGCAAGAAAAGCGGAGATTGGGAAGAACTGAGAATTCTGCCGCTTAGTCGCTGCGCCATTAGAGGACATTTGAGACCGCAGTGCTTTGATCTGGGAGGACTGGGACTGGCTTGTTGCAGTAGCTGTTGAATCTGGAAGAAATTGTGGGGCCCAAGAAGGTCTGTCGATATCGAAACACGGAGGATTGATAGGTGCGGCCTTTCGACTATGGCTAGAAGTGTCGTCCATCCCTGGTTTAATCGGCTCATCCTCGTTAAGACGCAACGCAGCCATGGTCTTGCACAACGCGCTAATGTTTGCATTTTCGCATCGTTCAGTATCCTTGGTAGATGAGTCTTTGCTTCTATGGCGCTTTCCTCCCCGTTTGCCTCGCCGCCTCGTGCTTCCGGTAGTGGTGGGAACAAAATCGAAATTCCACTTTGGTTCGGTGGGCGAGTGTTGGAGCTCTGCTAGGATGCTGAATTTGTTCGCTATAAATGTTAGAAGCCGTCAAAGCGCATGGCATCTAGTGCCAACGTACGCGTAGGAGTGAAATCATGCTCATGAGGACAGGTAGTCAAGCAGTAATTAGCGGAAATGGCTCTGGTGTCGCGTACTCGACAATCTGAGCAGCGACCGTCCTTCAACGGGCGCGCAGGCTTGGAGAATCGCGTCGAGGTTCTGTCATTGCGGATCGGTTGTGCCTGTCCTAGGATCATGCTAGAGGTGTAACGAAAGGCAATGTTGGACTAGGAAATATAGGGCAAACGGGAGAAGGTGACGGAGCTGTAGGTGCAGTACTTCGGTTTATCGTGCGATAGCAAAGAAGAAGATTGAGGTGTACTCGGAAGGACAGCCATGGCGATAAGGGTGCCATGTGGCTAAGAGGAGCGTTACTGCCCTGCAAAGGAGCGCCGTTCGTCCTGCCTTGAGGTCGTGCCTTCTCCACCAGCGGTCAGTCAGTGGCTCCTTCCAGCTTGAGCCTTCGGTTTGATGTCTGACGCAGGAAGGCGCACCCGGTGAAGTCTAGGGTCCATGTGAATATCATGACCTCGGGAAGCTCTGCATCGTTAGTCGCTTCGACTGGAGCTGTCGGCAGGAATGCACAGGTAGCCACCTAGATGAAGTGGGAGCCAACTGATGAACAGTATTCCCTTGCATTACTAGTCAGCCGATACGCTGTATCATACAGAATATATCATTCTTGTGGAAGCTTGCTTTGCATCGCAGCGTCGCCGCCTGCAGACCCTCCTTGACTGTCACTGACCCATCAGCACGACATGTACTGGCGTAATTTCCGACAACCAGTAGATTAGTCTCTTTAAGCAGCACGACGACAACGCGTATGTAGAGAAAAGGGAACAAAGAAAGTGGTGGTGTTTCAGTGTGGGCGGTGGAGGATGACAAATGGAGCTTAAGCTATGGCCATGAGGTCAGAGGTGTGCAGCTAAAATTGGTGGGGAAGCCATGTCTCCATCTCTGCCTGGACTTCTCTGCTGTCGACTAACCCCACGTAGCAAATACCCTCGCCGCACACTTCTCCCGTCCCAGGGCGCTCCAGGATAATTGGCAACAAGCATCGAGCCGCAATTACCTGGAGCCGCTTCCGAATCTTCAGTCGCACTTTCTTCCGCACGCCCCAGCAAACATGGCCGACACCGCACGCGCAGCCACGGCGCAGAAGCAGCACCGGCGCCCAGGCTCGCGCATCGTGCCTGCCATCCCCTACCGTCTGTCCAAGTCTCAGCCATCAGCCAGACCCATCACACCAGACGGCTCCACCAAGGACAGTGTCGCCCAACCAGCTAAGCCGCAGCCGGAGCCGCAATCCGCGCACGAGAGGCAGGAACAAGAGCAAACTGAAAACCAACAGGCCGAGGCGGTGCAGACTCCTCTTACGCCAGAGTCAAACACTTCGGGCGCAGAAAAGAGAGAGCTCGATGCAACCGCCGCGCCTGGCCCGTTGCAGAATGGCCACTCGGCACCGGCAGACACTCGTGGTGAGCATTCACTACCGGCTCCTTCTTTGACGCAGCACGTACTAAACTCCCAAGATGCAGAGAACCACGTCAACGGCCATGCCGACGAGAAGCCTCCCGCGCCCGTGGAGCCCAGCGCCGAGCCCAAGCCTGTCACGAACGGAGTGCACCGCAAACTGACCATACCCGCCCACCTGCCTCCGCCCTTCTATCCCTCGAACAAGACGGACACGCAGACACCGCCCACAGAAGGCAGCGACAGCGCTCACACTTCCTCGCACCGCCACCAGCTCAGTGCTGGTGCTCTGGTCTTCCAGAGCGCGAATGAGTCACCGGCACCTCCTGTGGCTCCTCAAGAGCCAGAGCTGCACCAGCACGAACAGCACGCGCTGCCACGTCCTCCGCCTGGGTTCGGTCCCCAGCAGTTTGCGCCTTTCTTCCCCGGCCACGCCCAGCATCCCTCAGAGGCAGGAGCGCCCTGGCATGTGCCGCCACAAGCAGTCGCACCGCCTGAAGCTGCCTACGCAAACGGCTCCGAGTTTCGACCCTCGCAGTTTCCCAGCGGTCCTGTCCTCTATCCGGGTCCTCCCAACGGTCACTTCTCGCCGGAACAGGCAGCTTTTGTCGCAAACGGTACCCGCACCTCGCACTCGCAGTCACCAAGCAAGGCACAATTTGGCGACACGGTACCCACGTCAGACCACGGGGACGAGCATCATGCCATGCCCTACCAGAATGGCACTGCCCCTCCTACCGAACGCCTCGAGGAGTCGCCGTTTGAACTTGCCAGCTATTTGTCAATCCAATTCGCCAACCCCGAATTCGCCGACTTCATCCTCCAAGTTCGGTCACCTGAGTCCATTCTGATGTCAGTACCAGTTCACGGCATCGTAGTCGTGCGGAGCCCTGTCATAGCCGAAGCAATTCGTCGCAGCCCGGCCCCCAGCCACCGCAGCAGAGACGCGCGCCGACTGGTCGATGTCCTTGCGCTCGACCCTTTCACTACCGGCGAATCCCTAGAGGAAGCTGTCAGGGTTCTGTATGGCGCCCCGCTCCTTTCTGCCCAGACCTTCCTGTTCGGCCTTGCACCTTACATGTACGAGAACGACCAAGCGTCCCCTTCCAACGACGCCCGCATGCGCATGCGACAAGTTCTGAGCTACATTGCGGCAGCAAGGACTCTCCAGATGCCTAGCATGCAGGCGCGCGGTATTGAGATCGCACGGATGCTTCTCCGATGGGATACTGTCGAGCAGGTACTGCAATATACACTGCAGGCCAGCTCTGGGCCACGATCAAGAGGTGAAGGT